AACAACGAGTATTTCGTTTTTTTTTTCTTTTTACATTCGCACTTTGTTCTTAAGAAGCTTTGCATATAAACGCATACGCGTCTTGTCAAATAATATGTGTGCATTAATTTTATTTGACATACTATAAACACACTTCCGTTCATCGTTCATCAAACGCATCCACACTTTATAGCCCAACATTATACAACACTTTGTCCAATACATACTTGCATAGATTTTTTTTTTTTTTTAGACAAAAATCAATCGAAATACTATTTACAAGCATTTACAGGCTGAACCGGTGCACAAAACATCACCGAAAAGCGGAAATAAAAAAAAAAAAGGAAGCTTCGCAATTTATAATCTCTGCACATCTGTATCATAAATAGCTGATCGCAAATTGTCCAGACAATTTTGCTTCTATTACATTTGCAAATTAGCAGTTTGGGCATTGTATGACCATAGTTTGTCTTTAGCAATTTTGATAAAGTATAATATTTTCGTTTAAATAAACAAAATATTCTGTGTATAATTGTCAAAAATAAATCTTTTTATCTGTATACTATCGTGTAAATACAATGAACAGTTAAAGCATACATACATTTACTTAAATAAACGTGTTTTATAAATGATAATTCTATGATAGACACAAAAAAAACATATAATTAACAATATATATACATATACCAGTTGTCATATAAAACGATTTAATAAAAAGTGTCAATGTCCGTAGAATAGGAACGATTGAACACTTGTTAAAATACGCGTAATTCCAATAAAAAACTAAAATGATTCTTGAATCATTTTCTTTGAAAAATCTAAATATATAAAGAGAACGTAAAAAAGTACAATTACTCTAAATAACTTTGTAATACGATTCTCAGTTTTAATTTGTTATCAGCTTTAAATATATCTCTTTTTTTTTACTTTTTTTTTTAAAACTAATGTGACTTTCTTGAAAGTCTATTATATATATAAAAAGTAAAATCGTATCTATTATAAAATAAATGAAAAAGATCAGACTATAAAATAGAACAAAATGTTTCATGAATTCAGTTGAAATAAAAAGACTTTGATCTATATTTTACACAATATAATAATGTTAGTTTTACTATCTTACTGTCACGGAAGTTGAGCAAAGTAATATTGAGCAGTTGTACAGTCAACCAACTTATTTCGCAAAGTGAAAAGTAGTAAATTAACTAAATAGTGATAAAAAAACATAAATATGATTTGAAATGATATATTAGCATATATTATTACGTATATAATGCTATATGCAATATTATACACAATGTTGGATCAGAGTTTTGTCTGTTGCGCGTATAAATGTAGTAATGATAGGAACTGTGAATATAATTGCGAACAAGATTATATTAAAGAAGACTGAATAAAAACAGCGTGTGGGATATTAACTAAAGTCATTACTATCATAATAAGAAACCTCATGATGGGGGTTTTATTTTACTGCAAGATTTTTTTATTAGATATATACCGAAAAAAATTATCCGTAACAAAAGAATCATATATATAACAAAAATATTGAATTGCAAAACGTGGCTCAACATATTTCTTAATATAAAATCAATGCGGTTTTCAAATTCTACGTGAGATATTGATGTAATTCGAAATACAAAGGACGTGATATCGATTGCAAAAGGAATTGAGCCGCCTTGTAATGCTCATATATATTTGCTAAAGTGCAACGTATGCTATTAAATATCAACTAATCAATAGCGTCTTAAAATTGCGTTTGCGCTAAATTCATCTGTTTCATGTACACAGAATAAATACAAATAAATTACAGATCGAGATGTAGGGTCCTATGTCAGTGTTTTCTCGACGTTGAGGATATATAGAGCTATGCTTCAGTCTAAGATCAGCGGAGGACTTAATTATTCACGTGACGCAATTGGAGTACGCTTCGCTTAATATTTACGATAAAAAGTAAATGTTAATTTTTACGATAAAATAAATGCTGTTCTTCCTGCTCGATATTCCTTGATCTTTTTTCGACAATGATACAGATGTACATTGATCTAGCGCCCAAACATCCTTGAATCTCTACTTTGTGATTTACGTTCAAACAGATCACATACTTATCAAATGCGATCAATTGCGCATCAACAGGCACACTTTATAGTTATACACATTTCCAGACATGATTACGTGCTACCTTAAAATTTTCAAGTAACTCTAATATATTACAGAACTATTAAACTATAGGCCTAAATTTTAGCGATCGCGCGCCGTTTTTATAATACGGAGACTTGCGGCCATATAGGAAACATTTCGTGTTAATCTTACGATACTTATTTCATATATGGTACATGTACATGGTCTAAGCGTTAACTGTGTTTGTTTATTACTATACTAGATATTTCACAATACGAGCGAGGCTTATTATTACGATACATCGGCCGATAATTTATCCGTCATTAGTCGTGTTCCTTCTCTGCTTAATTCCGGGAATTTCGTTTAATGAGTGGGGTTTTTGCCACCTTTCATTTCGAAACGCGCGTTTTGCGTGTATTAAAGCATTTTGCTTTCAAGAAAGTTTAAACTAAACAGAACAGATTATATATGTATATATATGCACATATACATTAAACAAAATTGTTCGAGTTACAAAAAAAGTTTAGCGTGATCCAAGGCTGTAAGTACATTATCCTGATATTCGATTTTTCGTCAAGAGTTCCAAATGCGTTATGCAATTGGTGTATCAATTAGAGATAACAACATTCCAATAAATAAATGCCTAATTATTTAGCTTGGCACATTGGAAGTGAACAAAATTTCCGGACACGTAAAAAATAAAATGTGATAACTACAAATTGTTAGTCTAGAATCGCTAAGAGCGATGGAAAAGAAAAGGTGTTGAATAGCAGATACTTTTGAAAAGAACAATCGTGACATGTCATACAAGATTTTCGCTTCTTACATATTTTATGTAATTACATTTTTCTTCACATTTCTTGCATCATCTTGTGTCTGTACACAAGCTATGTTACAACTTTTTTGTATTTGATGTATTTGTATAAAATGTTAGAGAGAGAGATAGGAATAGCATTAGATATTTGCTACTAAATCACTGGTACTTCATTCGTTAATATATAGGGTATCCTAAGCTGAAGCATTATTTTTTTATAAAAAATTTTTTGATAAATTCGGGATTAATTTTCCAATGGATAATTCTAAGGAACCTTGAAAAAATGTTGTACATGAATTAATGTAAAAATGATAAAATAAAATTTTAATATATTATATAAAATAGCATACGTATGTATACATGTGTTATATAATTTTTCATTTCAAATTGCACTTTAAAATCATTTTATTTATATATTTCTAGATATTGTAAGAGTGCAGATAATAAGGAGAAATTTTATTCATTTCATTTTAATGAAGATCTGATTTTGAGTAACAGTTTAATGGATTAAATGCGAAAGATTTGACACGAGCTAAACGACTTCAATGAGAAATAATATTCTTCTAAATAGCATCGACAAGAAATTAATATCACACGTGAATTTATCAAGAAATCCGTTACGAAAAAATTGTACAATAATTTCAGATACCCTATATATCGCATATTTGCTCTGATAAGCATCGAATCAAAGTGGCACGACCATATGTACGCGATGTTGTAGGAACGAAACAACCATGGATCGCATTAATAAATCTCATAGTGGACTAAATATACTTTCAAACGGATGCACGGTGTAAGAACAGAACAAACGAAATAAACCATCAAAAGGAGGGTATTTGCGGATATGGAACAATCTGGAACTTCTACCATTTTGTCTTGTATCTTTTAACTTACTGAGAGATTACGGATATATAGTGGGATTAGCTAATCAGTCTTGTGTTAGAGGCTCGTTATGTCTAGACTCAACTGCATTACATTGCGTTACTCGTATAATAACTCTTTTCTTAGCTCATTCCATTAGGATTCATCCAATATTATTCATTTCGCGACTGTAACGATTACATGGATTTAACCTTTTCTCGTCCGTCGTTAATCTGTTTCTCACTGGGCTCTAAGACAGTCTACGTTCTCTCGTCTCTACTCAAAAGCATAGTGCATGCCTCTGAATTTCATAGTTTATTTCGTGGAGCAACGCAGAAACGATTACGCAACGGATTAAGAGTGATATCTTATGCCGCGAACTATTGTAGCCGTTTACGATGTATAAATAAAAATGTGGATGATCCTATTGCACTATGGAGACTATAAACTCATGACTGTAAATTGCACGGTGAATCTTTGCAGAATATGTTAACTTTCAGTCGAAAAGTGGTATTCATTCGCAGTGAGAAATATGCTATATCTTCCTCATTGGAAGATGTTTTAAGAGGCATATTACAGGAGACAAAGCGCGATTTCATGTGCCAGCTCCACGAAATAGTACAGTTACGTACACAGCATAAAATCTATGTCATACGTACAAGGTACGTCGGGAAAATTTCAGAAGCACAATAGTAACATAAAAGAAATTTTGATAGAATTACTTATTGCTTGTTTCATAAATGTTTAATGCGTCAGGTTCAGTGAAGTTCACATTGGAATAGATGAACATCTAATTTCTTTTACATATCATTAATAACATATGATCGTTAATTTATTTAACCATGAAATATATAGCTTTCTTTTATGTTTTCTTTTATCTTTATATATGCAAGAATAATATCTTTAAATAGATAGAATAAGAAAAACAAGGCGCCGTTTAAATTAATACCAATATTTTTATAAACGTAACGCATTTGATCTCGTGATAGTATTTTGAAATTAAAATATAATATTAATATTAAATTTGAAAATTAGATCCTAATTGTTTTCACATTTAAGATTTCACTATAATTACAATAAAAAGATTAAAATAAAGATTATGAACTTTTTGCAAACTACTTTATATGTATATATCGCAAATGCTCATCAATCATTATATATATCGTCATTACTGAAGCCTTTTAATTTGAAAAAGGATCCTTACTTTCTAATTCTTCTACTATGTATCGAACAATTGGTGAATTCAGAATTGTTAGATCAACTGATATAATAAAGTCAAAAATATTAAAACAATGTAGAAAGCATAAATATAATAGAAATTTATAAATTAGAGGAACGCGATATATTTGCTAAGTCCATACACTTATTCTGAATCACCCTCTACACATATACTTTCCAACATATCTATATCACTATACGAGTTCAAAGCTTAAAATCATGCAAAGTGGCGACTAGGTGTAATTCACAAAATTTATAAAATATGGTCTTTTTGCTGTGAACAAAATGTCGTACCAACGCGGTAGTCGACCTAATTGCCACTTTGGTTTACCATATTTACTATAAACTCGGAAAAAAATAAACCAATGCTTTACAAATATATAGTTACAGCAGAAATCGCGCAAAAAGCGCATCTTGCGACTGAAAATGAAACAGAAAGTCTATGATATAAATAATAAACTTGCTTAATTCTTTGATACACACTTACACGCTAGATGGTTAATGGAGAGAGAAGTTATTACATGCTTGTCAGATAATGTGCATTGCCAATGGACAGTCGCATGTTTCTCACAGTGTACGCGGCCCAATTTTCAGGAGAGACATTTGACTTAAATCGCAACTGTTCATAATAACTCCACGATAAACGGCGTCTTTATAAAGTAAACTCTCCGTATTAACATATACTATAGCGACAACTTCAAAAAGACAGTATCTGATATAAATATATTCGCTGCTCTTTTCCAACATGCATCGCAGCGCAACAAATATATAATTAACTGTACACGCGTAGCGATAAATTACATTTAGAGAGACGGAATTAAGACATGGTAACACCCGTATAAGGAAACTCCATTTGTTTGTTAGGACCTGTACTCTTAGTTACGTCTAGACGTTTAAAATATAGACTTACGAATATAACTTGTTTGTTAGAGCTAGAACACACTAACATCCCTTTCATATATAGAAAACATTATTCAATGTAATCCTTTCAAAATGATAATTCAGTATGCTCAGAAATTTGGCACAGACACTGCCTTTTTGTTGGAATATTCATATCCGATTCACTCCAAGTGATAAAGTTTCGTACAGCGAAGCTACGTGGTCGTATTACTGATGTAACCGTTATTCAACATTTCTGATTTGTTCATGTAATCTCCCGTGCGTTTGTTGTTTTCCGTTTTGTCACCATTGACCTGAACGTCCATTGAAGGAAATTCTACGTGTAAAGAAGTAATCTCCCTCTTTTCAATGCCTGACATGATTTCAGGACTCCTGTTTTCGTAATCGGGATCATCCTGAAGCTTAGACGGATTTGGGCTATCGAGAAAATTTCGTTTAACTAAACTTTGTGGACTTCCAGATTTCCCTAGAGAACCTTGACTTACGTTACTGCGGGAAGTACTTTTCTTATATATAAAAGGCGAGCTCCTGACTGATTTAAGGCTGCCTTCTACAAAAGGCGAGTTTAACGTGTCCTTACTAGATACAAGCGAATCTCCGGAGATACCGCCAAATTCATCGAATCCAGCCTTGGGTACTTTTATCGAGTTCATGTCGTGGAAATTGGAAGTAGCTTTTGAGGTTTCGCCATACGAATCTGCTCCGTATCGTGGACTTAAGGTATTTTTACTACGAGGTTCAAAACTTGCAAAGTCATCAAAGTCTTGACGCAGTGGCGAATCTTCCTCTCCCTCCATTTCTTCCTCTCGTAAACGCTCTTGTAGAGCAACCATTTCTAGATCTCTGTTTAAATTAAATAATTAAATTACATACATACATTTAATTATCTAAATATCAATTGATATGAAATTATATACTTACTGGTCAGTTTGTGGTGAATGTGAATTATTTTGATTTCGAGCTTCGATTCCTTCCGGACTGTGATAAAAACTAACATTCTCAAAATCTTCTATATTAACTTCTTGCAATAACTGCGTCTCGATGTCTATAAAGGTAGGTCTTCTCGTGGCTCTATGATTCCAGGTACGCCTCATTAAATTATACAGTGAATCAGGACAATTTTCCGGTCGTTCCATAACTCCCCCCTCAATTACGTAACGCAATACCTAAAAGCAACATAATAATAATTTAGAGAAATGTATGTATAACAATCAAAAATTATTTTTTTGAATAATTTGTATTTACCTGATCATTCGACAAGCCTTGATATGGCTGCGAAGCTAATGTTACCATTTCCCAGAGAACAACTCCGTAGCTCCAAACGTCAGAAAAACTAGTGAATACGCCATCTTTCAAACTTTCTGGTGCCATCCACCTGACTGGTAACAGTCCTTTGGACCCTTTTCGATAGTAATCGGTTTCATATATGTCTCTTGTCATGCCGAAATCACCGATTTTTACAGTAAGATCTTCGGCTACCATACAGTTACGAGCAGCTAAATCTCTGTGGACGAATTTCTTTGCGGCGAGATAAGACATGCCGTCTGCAATTTCGACTGCCATTTGCAAAATATCTCTCAATGTCGGAGGTTGTTTAGAGTTCTCGCATACATCCGGTCGGTGACTTCTCAAATATGTCTTTAAATCACCGTTTACCATCAATTCCATAACTACCAATGTAGGTTGACCTTGCGACACTACGCCCAACAATCTGACAACGTGATGAGTATTAAAAGCCCTTTAACAAGAAAATTATAATAAGTTAGAAAGATGGAAAGAGATATATATTGTTAGAGAGGAAGTAATTAATTCTTCTTACTTCATGACGGACGCTTCGTTAAGGAATTCTATCCGTTCACGGTCGGTTGCGTTTTCATTTACAGTTTTCACAGCACACCGTACTTCCGGTTTGCCTTTCACGACATCCCTGGCCAATCCTTCGTATACCATGCCAAAAGAACCATTTCCTAATTCTCGTAATAATTGAATTTTCTTTCTGGGCACTTCCCATTCGTCCGGTACATAACTTGTGCTTACATATTCTGGATTCACTGTCGCGATAAGCCGCATACTAGGCACATTTCGCATTGATCTCTTTTTAAATACGTACAATATTATTAAAGAAGTAAACGTTATGACAACACCCAATATCGACCAGAATAAAATCCAGAATGTACCAAGTGTACCATATTCCGGTATATAAAAATATTTCACTTCGGTATACGCGCCATTTCCAGCTAAACTCGTAGCTCGTACTTTTACAGAATAATTTCCAGGAGAAAGTTCCTTCAAGACATATGAGTTGCCCATGCTGGTAAAATCGCGTCTTGTGATACATACCACTGTTGCTTGTATCTGTATACAATATACGGAAACGATTGTATTACAGACGATAGTATGTACAAGATACATTTTAAATTACAAATTACTTCCTTCTTTTTAAGAAATATTTTTTTCATTAAATTCTTCCTTGTTTTTATATCGAAAACACTTACAATGTAAATAAAAATTAAAAATTGTGTATTACTCACATTTTTTATGTCAATTCTTTTATACTCAATCTGATACGTGACTATTAGGCCATTAGGTTGAGGTGGTTCGTCCCAAGACAATGTAACTATAGTGAAACTGTTATTCTCGCCAGAAGTCTTTAATTCAAAGGTATTCGATGGAATATTATCTGCGCTCTCCATAGATAACGTACGGTACGTTTTCATGCTCTTCGTCGAACAATTCTTACTCTTCGTATCATTCCCAACACGTTCTCGGCAAGCTTGAACTTCAATATTGTACGCAGCAAAGTGTCGAAGATTTCTCATAACGAAAGTAAGATTGGTGCTGGATATTAATCGCTCGAATATCGTGAATGTACCATTCTCCACTTTATCGTTAGTACTTTCTCTATCCTAAACATGAAATATATATTAAGAGTTATATTCAATTTTAAACGATATATATATATATATATATTAGGTGTTGGAATTAATTCGTAGCGTTTTGTAATTTTACATAATTAAATGCAGTTAATGAAATGTTACTATTGATTCATTTCGTATTAATATTTTCACCATTATTTCTGTGGAAGTTAAATCTCTTAATCAATTTGAATACAAATATACGTGATATGAAATACAGAAAGAATTATGTTCGAAATATCACTTGTAATAAATAAAGTAAATAAATGAATAAAGTGCAGTACTCAATTTTTTTTCATTTTTATATTTGTTTGCTTATACTTAATAATCGTTACTGACAGGGAATCTGAAATTTTACCTGATCGTACGTAAACTCTTTGGCTAGATCCGCTGCGATTAACATTTCACTAGTGTGGCGTCTTCTACGCTGCTGCGATAGTCGTTTTACATAAACCTGATTGTGTAGCGCATTTTCGAAGGCAATCGAACTGGAAACTTCTTTTTCACGCATCGACTGATCCGTCGTTTCACGATCAGAACAGATGCACGAATCAGTTTTTGCGAACTCCTTCTCCAACTCATTATGCTTTTTTTCTTCCTCCGCTATGACTTCCTCTGGTGGTTTTGCTTCAGGTAACGGCATAGCTGAAATTAGTAGTAATTGATTAATAACGAATTAACTGTATTTCTAACTGTATTTACAGTGCAAAAAATGTAACACACCCATAATAATTATTATATAACCGTGACAATATACTCGTATTAGAAAAGAATTTTGTTTACATTATTACTATATACTATTGAAAAAAATGATTGAATGATTTGAATTACGTTCGTCACAATAATTCCTCTGGTCGATGAAATTCGGGTCATCCGGCTCCCAACGACCAACAATGCGATAATGCGTTAGATTTCCATTTTTATGAAGTGGTGAAAACCAGGATATAACCAGCTCGTTGCTGGAATTACTCCAAGTCGATAAGGCTCTGGGAGGGCTAGGCGCATCCGGTAGCGTCGTAAAGTACTTGACTTTACTCTGGGCGCCTGACCTTTCCGTGGCTATGGTGTAAGTCTTAACGTAGTAAGCATACTGAGTATACGGCTTCAGCAGGGTCAGTATGTGAGTGTGATAAACAGGCTCTTGTGATTCCGTGCCGTTGTGGGGCTGCGGCGTTGTGCTCTCAGCGGAAACGTCCTCCACCCGCCAGCCATCACCGCCACAAGCATCACGGCCATCGTACATAGTTATATTCTGATTAGGCGCTTCGATAAAGTAAACAACGTAACCCAAGAGGGACCTGGTATCGTGATGCGTAAAAGCTTTCCACTCGATAATAGCTCCTCTAGATGACTTCTTGGTGACTTTAGTCTTTAGCTCGGTGACGTTACATGCGACTTTATCTCCATTGCTGCTGGATGCCACATCGTGATCGGTGAACTCTTCCAATTTGGCCTTCTCTCGTAGTTTTTCGATTTCGTGCAGACACAATTTCGGATTGAAATGAAAGAAGAGTTTAGCGGGGCCCCCACTGGACATGATGGTAATGTTCGGGTGCGTGTTCCAGTCCCAGAGTTCCTGAAGATTCTGATTATCGAGCACGGCGAGACTATACTTACCGTTCTCGAGTGTTTGACCGCGTATTACGCGCAGATTCTTCAGAAAGTTCAGAGATATCAGTGGGAAGCTGCGGACGATCTTTAAGTAGCCGTCTATCTCCTCGATCGTGCTTAGGCTATCCTCGAGTTCTTTTACGATGTTTTTGCCACCGCGTATCTGTATCTCGAGGCTACCTGCGATGTGTGTACATCCGCGTAATTTCTGTGCCGAAGCGATGCTGTCCACATTAGCACCAGCACATTCCTTTAAGCACGACGGACCTTCACACTTCTGACAAGTTGGGGGCTTACCCTTCTTCTCTTCACTCTCCATGTAACCCGGAGGGCACTCGATTACGCAGGTACCATTGAACGGCTTATATGGGCGTGACTTCATAGCATCCGGCGCCTCGCGCGGCTTTTGCATCTGAAGGCATTCTTGCTCTTCGATGCAACGTCGATTCATGAATTCGTACTTGCCTTTTGGGCAACGATCTTTACACTCTCTGTTTATTATCACATTTTTGCAAACGGTACAATTATTGGCCGTCAATCCTGAGCATCCACCTAAACAGAACGGATGACAGCATACTCCCGTACTGTTGCAAGCTCTATTCTCGCACTTCCAGTCGCATACTATAAAGATAAATCATTACGTTAAAATAAAACGCTATTTATCGCGTTTTTCTCACGAATTAAATAGATAATAATTTGCAAATGATGCTGATAGATAATTAATATTAATATTATATATTATACGTGCTATTAATTATATGTACTTGTGGACATATTCTAACCAGATGTGTTTATATACGACACTTTTAAAAAGATGAAATAAATATGTAAACTGGAAATTCCACAATGTAGAACAGACAGTTGTATAAAATCCTCTAACTAAATTCAAATCGTTTAACTACATTCCAAAAAAGTTTAATATCGTTATCCGTGGTATTTTTTTATGGGAATCTGATTCAAAATTCGACGGAAGGTCTGATGTAATATATTCGCGAATATAATCAATCGTAATAATAATTTACTTTTTTGGCAGTATTGTCGATTCCAGCACAGAGACTGATCGAGTTTCGTCTGTCTTGTTGGGCATTTTTTGTCGCACACTGGACAACCATTTGTTGGTTTGTTATCCTGTAAACAAAATATGAATGCACTGTAACAGTTTTATTTATTTGTGCATTTGCACGTAATTCCGCTTACAATTTCTCTCAAAATTTTGTGTTTTTATTTCTGACGCAATGCCACTACAGAATTATGACTTTTCAATATGCTGTTTAAAGCACAAGTATTACAGCATGTGAAGCAATGAAAATACATTATCATTTCTAACTTGACGTCTTCTATGTAGATATATCGACTATCGTCAGAATCTAATCCTGCCATTTTATTGCCATTATTTTTATAATTGATCTTATTCTATTATTGACGTATCTTATTTTTTCAAATATCACGCGGTCAACGAAATGTAATTTGTATGTACTTCAGAGAAGAGAAACGGACGCGATAGATTTTTTAGCAGAACATAGGAAATTCTTTCGCTACGTGCGAAACTATGTATAAGAAAGTAAGAGAAGAAACAAGACTATACTACGTCGGAGCCGATACGAAGGTCGAAAAACACATTGCGAAAGGCTCGTATTCGATGATCAATACTGTTACCGTTTCTCGCAACGATATGCTTTTCACAAGATATTCGATACTATTTCTGAGTATAAAACAGAGCGAAAGTGATTGATTGACCGTCCAAACCAGTAAAAAGGAAAATTATAAATAATTTCATCGCCATAGATCATTGTATTCGTATATTATTCGATCATAAATACGCAGACCTTACATAGTTTTACTTACATGATGTTAAAGCGATTTGGTCGCTTCAGAAAAGTGTATATTGTATCATGGCTAAACATTGTGTCACCATTATGTCATTTCTAACGGTTTCTTTATATGAGTTTTCACAGTGCATTACAACACTTTGCATAACGCGTTTCATTGTAAAGTAAATGAAGTAATTTACTTCTTCCGCCTGAGTTCTTTTTATCCTTTAACAATTCCTGATACGAAAGACGTTGCGAAGCATGATGAGTACACGCGCGCATGTTGTAGTATGTATACTGGTCAAAAATTAACTACAAAAAATTTGTGCTATCTTTTCAAAAGAATCTGAGCAACTATCGTTAGCTATTACGCTATTTTGATGTCAATTGGATATTGCTGATGCGAATTGTTCGTCGAATGGCGTCGAATGAAGATAGGATTCTCGGCCGATTCGAGTTTTAAGACAAATATACTTATCTTGGTCATCGAATCTTTCTAATAATAACTTACTGTCTCTGTTTAAGTGCGCTGAAATACAAAAATCGAAGCTACTCACCTTTATGAAGTGCCCTCCCTTGCCAGCTTTAGCAATGATATCCCAATCGATGGTATCGACGTAGCATAACGTCGGATTCTTTTCGAATCGGACGGATCCGCGTAAAATGCTGGTCAAAGAGTGAAGACCGATTTCTTGAAGATGCATCATCTCGAATGCTACGAGGGCATAATTGATAAAGAGAGAATGACCGCGAATGACCGTTAGATTCGGAAACAAATGACCGACGGTCCTCAGTCCGCTTACCCTAGAAATACAACAAACAAGTGCAAAGTTAAAATATGCGAATAACCATCGCATGGACTATCTGCTATGTTAATGGGAAAATGTCTCTTTAAAGCTACATTATCTACAGTATTAACTCTCCCTCTGCAATTTTTTGCACTAGCAAAATTTTACTCTCAAATTTCTCCGAAATAAAAGGGGATAGAATTCAGTTTCCTCATTGCTAAGTTATACATTTTTAAAGAAATTTCCATTTTTATTAAATAAAGGTGAGATAACGTTTGAGTTAAAAGACCCAAATTGCAGACGGAGGATTAAATGATTGGTAAATAGTTATACCTGTACAAAATAAGGTATCCAGTAATCTCGACCAGCTCGGGGAAGCTGAGATTGGCGTAGGCCGACTGCTCTGCTCGATCGATCAAGAGAATTTGTACGAAACCTTCGACCACCCGGCATCCTTCTAGTTTTGAGAATTCACTCACGCTATTTCTTATGTCTATACTTTGGCACACTGCAACAGAGGAAACGTCATATCGTGACGGAATTAATAACGCAACAGAGATTTCTACTATGTTAACTATACATTCTGAATCAATAATTGCTATCATACACGCTATCATTGAGAAATTTGAAAGAAAACACTCTCTTGACTGGACTTGACTATCGTACAATAATATCATTTGTGCTGAAACGCTAAACTGCAAAATTAAGAAATTATGTTCATCGCGTGTCAATTATTTATCTACAAGCCTTTGAATTTTAAGAATTTTTAAGCTAATTGAATATTTATTCTCATTTATACTGTTAACATGTATACTGTTTTTGAGTTGTTCCAACTTCATAATATTGGCAAACTTTTAATTATATATAGTACCAAACGAAATCATAGAATGGTTAATGGAAACTGTTTTGTGTTAACCCGATAAAAATCAGAATTGAAAAATCAGTGTAATGTGATTTTTGCAATTGCGAGCGTGTTCTACAAGTGCCAAGTCACGTCTGGCACGCGGCAACAGCAACGTGCAGCAGTTAAGCCGGTGCATTAAACTGCAGCTTGCTTCCTTGGTTTCGCTAATCGTCGTATTGGAACAGGCGTAACGGAACGTAGTCGAGTCGACGTGCTCGATTTCAACGAGAGACGCTAAAAATACTCGCCGCGCCATCAGCTGCCGTCGAAATAAACAAAAGGAGACGTCGTTCCTCCACTATTATTCGCATGAGCTATATCATCAGTCAGAATCGCTTTATCAAGACCATTTCATCCTAGAGGGATAAGCCGTATCTGCGAAATGCAAATTCTCTAAGCTTTTGCCTCCACGGAATGATTTTATAATATATGATCTCTCTTCTAGCGAATGATTGCCTCGTACGATTTGCACGAAGAAAGAAACACAAGGATATGTTATGTGTTGATGGAGAGAAGTTTTTTTAATTTTATTCTGAAAATATGGTAGTTGTGATACCTACAATACGTTATTTTAAAGATTTTTACCATGCACTTCAGTAAAATTGATTAAATTTATTTTATATTGTATTATAGTTTTATTAATAAATGAGAGAAATTTACATAAAATTCTTCGAAATACAATGTTGTCTCAGGACTATCGTATTTTTAGAATAAATTCTAAGAAAAAATTCTCTCCATATAGCATCAATTTGTTTGCAGAAATATATTGCATACTATTTGAAAAATAGTAGAGAATAATAATGTTATCAGCAATAACTTTCAACGCTAACGATAAGAGGAACCAAACTTATAAATTATTTTGTAACTCGAGGCTAATTGATGACATGTGTTACTGTCCTTCACGAAATTATCTATTCATGAAATCTAGTCGAAGTATGACAAAAGTCACGTCTTGCTAAACTACTAGTCTAGTCATATGTTTTTTGGCAATGCATGTTACCAAAATACATACGTAAGCAACGCACGTGTTAAAATACAGTAATCAACATTGTCGACAGGTGCACTGGCAGTATTATTACCAGACATTTGTTTTCTGTCACATTTGTCGGTTCAAGCATTGTCAAACTTCAAGCATTGTCAAGCGATAAGCGTTGATGAAGCATCGAGGAAATGTCGGGGAAATGTTTATTCATCTTATTTACCTATTCTATTAATAATTTTATTCGCGCATGTATAAGTCTGCCATTTTTTAATTACGACATTGAATAAAAAAGAGAGGAGGAGAATATAAGATTTTTTTACTAAGATATTGGTCTTAATTACGTCGCGACTTCCTTCTGAATAAAAATAAAAACTCTCTTTCTCAACTACAGTTCAGACGACTTATTAATTTTCATAAAATTCAACATAAAATTCAAACTGATAATTATCAAGCAATTAATTATATGCGAGTCTCATAATTACTTCATCGTGTAATATCATATACGAGAAAGCATAACGTCTTGTCGCACCGCGTCAAAGCTGCTAAAGCCAACAGCGATGTCGATGGCGACGAAGCGAGGCGAAGCGAGGCGAGGCGAGGCGAGGCGAAGCGAGGCGAAGCGATGCCGTAGAAGATGCAAAGGTTTCATTCATAACGAATTGCATGCGCAGTGCAGGCGTACTGGCAACGAGTGTACTATTTGCGTGCGTATAATGCGTAAATAGTACGGAGCATCAAAGCGGAACAAGATAGATTACAATAAACTTTAATTTGACGTTTTAAACAATCGAGCTAGTTAAGATCAGAAAAAAAGCAAGAAGAAACTTCATTTTCAGCGAACTTTTAAAATTACTGTAAGCGAGGAAAAAAAATTTTCAAATTTCGTACCATATTAATGCGTGCATTATCTTTCATCTTAATTTTAACCGCCTTGTCTTCGTATAATCACAGTTGCCAATATAACGAATAATTATTATCTCAAGTTGACGTACACTCTTTTGCAAATAGTAGCAATTAGCGTAGCTAAAAAAATATATAAATATAGTAATATATAAATATAGTTACACAAAAACAAATGGATGGCTGTTATGTATAATCAGATACGTTATAATATATAAGGTGCTCGCATTCACGAAAGTACTTTGAAAGATCTGCTCTTCACCGATTCCTTTCATTTTTTGCGAGCATGAAGCGAGCATTGAACCAAACAATTAATTATATGAACGAAAAGGTACGCCTTTGGAATATTACAGGAAATTTGATCGCGTTGAGCGCAAGGCATAATTGTACATTTTTCGCTCATACACCCAGGTTCCGCTTTTTAACAAAGTTAAGAATCAGCGAAACGCTCCTTCCGCGTAAAACGCCATCGATCATATTTCGCACTGGTAGGAATTATACGTAGAAGTTGAAGTGTGGTGGGGAGGGAAACGAGAAGAGGTACGACGCAAAATTGCAAGGTGGCAATACGTGTGTTGCGAGGTTGCACCCGGTACACGCAGCCAACGCGCGATACAAAGGAACGGTCGGGAGATTCATCGCTTCTGGGTAGCCTACTTAAGAAATTGCAACGGCCGGCGCATTCCAAACACTTCGTCAAGGTTGCTTAGCCATTCACCCAAAGGCCGAAGCACTTTGGATGCCCTATACATAGACAATGTATAGCGTAACGATGTGTTGTCGAGTCTATGTGTGTGCACCAGCACATTCGTGTGATGCTACCCTGTGGCATTCCTCAGCCTGGTCTGCCTGCTGCCTGGCCTGGCCTGGTCCGGCCCGGCCCAACTTGTACGGTATCAGGCGCCGACAATTCCATCTCGACCGATTGCTACTTTGTATTCTCAATAGGCTAACCCATGAGATCCAGACATAATGAGATCCCCTGATCTTGACGTACGTGTCACAAGGAAGCGCGATACTTTGCGGCCAAGTACGCTATCTTGATGCGAATACTTGACGTAAAGACGCTTTTTGTAATTGGGGAGAGGAAATTTCAAACCATCGTGGCATCGTCACGAATCCCTCAGTTTCACTGCCATTTCCATTATTAAATAAATTGCATAGCTTTAATTCGTAAGCGGCATAGCAAAATAAACGTCTCATGCATATTTCTCTTTATTTGACAATCTCTGTATATCGAATCAGAAAATTGCAATTGGATTAACAATAGTATGTTTGTCTGTTGGTAGTAGAGAAGAGTCGAGAGATCCTGAAACATACATGCGCGACGAGCCAAAGAGATTACAAACATCAACGTGAGATCGTGTGGAATGTAGTTACATTATATTCAGAGTTAAACCGACTGTCCTGACTAGTACAATATAGAAAATTGGATACAACAGAGGATTAGTCGAACAAAACGTCCGATTTATTCGAATCGTCTTTTTGTGAAAAGTTAATAGAGAATCGAAGCTCTAATTAAACTGTTAAATTAAGATTAGAAACCCTTTGTAACGCCTATCTTAGCTCCAATATTTAGTTAATTATGATTTAATACCTGATGCAATTATTATTATTATTATTATTTTTATTTTATTACATTGCTATTATATCTTTGACGTGTCTCTCTCTCTCTCTCTCTCTCATCGTATTTTTTTCTTATTTTGTTCTTTTTCTCTCCTTCTCTCCGTATATTTTTATATTTATATCATACCATAAATATTTCTTTTTAATGCTCTCTTTTTTTTGTATATCGCTATAATTACTCTTATCGATAAATAAAGCAAAGATTAAAATTAACAAATTGAGAAGATATTCACATCGCACTGATCGCACTGCAATTTCAACTCCAATAATAAATAAATTATTACAACAGTAAAACGATAAATGAATAAACCAATTAAATAAAATGATTGAAAAAAAATTTTCTTCATTTACCTCGCAAGTTTCTTTTTATAGCGCCCAAGTTCATTATCTGTGATCAACACTTTGTTGCAAAAGTCCTCGACTAAACCGGCTGTAGAAATGATGTGCAGCATGAAAGGCAAGCGACTGCATGGCTGGCTCGATGTAGCGTCAAAGAAATGAACAACGCAGCATCCAACAAAGAATCGCGAACATGTATTCAAATATATTTTATACATTTCGTGCGTCGACCTGCGAGCGAGCAGACATATGAAAATTGATGATATATCTGGGTTGTAAATTTCTGTGATAAATTTTATAATTACTCGAATGATAAAAATATCGGTCCATACGAAAGATGAAACGATTCTGTGTCACTCTTAAACCTCTATATATAGATACGTTGTTGTATGATCGATAATTCGGCCAAGGTTTCAATTGTGGAACCATATTCCTTTACAAAAAAAGAGAGAGAGAGAGAGAGAGAGAGAGATCGACAAACTGCGTCACTTCTATATCCAAATTTATTGCACGATCAATCATACTATATGAAAAACGTCCGTCAATTAATCAAATATGTCTTTAATCACACATGTCTTTTTTTTTTAATAAAATCGTCCTTGAATCTTAATGTTTGTAAGTTGTTATAATCAATGTTAGTGGCGAAATAATACGAGTAAAAATATATATCGGATAATGCTGCCCTATAAATAAGCAAATAAGCTACATACGCTTATCATTTTCTCGTACTTTTGCTTCGTTAAGTTTCATCAAAAGG